GAGAGAGAGAGAGAGAGAGAGAGAGAGAGAGAGAGAGAGAGAGAGAGAGAGAGAGAGACACAGGGAGAGACATACACAGTGTCCCCTCTCTCGCCGCACCGACAACAGAACGTGAATTTGCCTCCACATCGAGCCGCCGCCATGTCCGAGTCAAACAGCTCCCGACTGCGACGCTACGACACACTGACGACGCTGACGCTACTACTAGTACTACTGCTAACACCTCACCGCTGCGACGCTGCGTGTGACGCACCGGCCGCTCCCGACCACGGCCACGCAGTCGGCGGCCGACCAGCGACGTGGAGCGACGACGGGACGGCAGTGCTGAGGTACGAGGCGAACTCGCAGCTGCGCTACAGATGCGAGTTCGGTTACGAACTGGCCGTCGACGTGCAGCGAAAGTGCATGCCGAGAGGTCGCTGGAAGCCGGCCAAGACACCGCAATGCCTCTCCGCCATCGTAAGTATCACACGTAGTACCAGCGTCTGCTATCATCATCATCATCATCATCATCATCATCATCATCATCATCATCATCATCATTATTATTATTATTATTATTAGGCAGTGGCTAAGCGTCCGGTCATCCATTACCGAGCTCAGCACAGATTTCCAAATCCACGTTACGATTAGGCCACGACCCCTTTCAAATCGTTGATTTTACTGAATTTACTATTGCTTCAAAAGTTTCAAAAACACATTTTTTATAAAGGTAATTAATATTATGGTAAAAACTTATTGTTTATTGTTTTTTACTGGAAAAATATAGTTGGGTTCACATAAGAAATATATGATCGGACGCTTAGCCTGGGAACTGGGCGTCCGGTAACCGGACGCGTAGACATGGCCTTATTATTATTATTATTATTATTGTTTCCAAATTAAGTGGATCACGGCATTAGCCGGTAGCTTCTGGGTGGACCGTGTCCCAACCTGGGACATAGGGATTCAATCTAGAATTTTGCGCAGGATGTGTGCTGTTCCCAGTAGTGCGATTTTCTGCACTTGTTGGGCAGTGTGGTGGCCAGGGAGTTCCTTAAGGTTCTTCTGAAAACCATTCATTATAGAGCCAAGGGCTCCAACCACCACTGGTACAATTCTCGTCTTAGTGTCTTAGTTCTTCGTTATTATTATTATTATTATTAATTATATCATTATCATCAGCAGCAGCAGCAGCAGCAGCATATACTAGTATATATACATAGGTTCAAGGTTCATGCTACAACTAAGCGACTAATAAATAAACAAGTAGGCAATAAATAACAAGCACATCACATATAACATAAGCAAGACATAACATAAATGCATAAGCAATAAGACATAAGCAATGACATAAGCATAACATAATGTCACACACACACACGTGCTTCCTCGATACAAGAAGCAGCAGTGAGTGAGTGACCCGGAATCAGTGAGTAGTCAGAACACAGCACGAACACTGCGTTGCATAGATTTCCGTTTGCGGTGCTACCCCCGTTGTTAGCCTACGTCTATATCTGACACAATAATCACTGCACACCCCATCCCCCCTCGCTCCTACACGTACCACAGTGAATCATTGAACGGATCACGGGCTAATAATACCTTATATTACCTCAGGTATTATTAGCTCTTGAATGGATATAGCCAAGAGTAGATAATAACAGTGTTATTATCTACTCTTGATATAGCCAAGAGTAGATAAATAACACATTAACATGTGTTATTATCTACTCTTCCCCACCGGACGCGGACATAACTTGAAGGACATGACTTAACACATAGTATATGACGTAGGTGAGCTGGATTCTTTACAGATTTCTCACCTACACTCATCACGACCGTTACATAGGTCCGGGAGAGCCTGCCACCATCCCGGGAGCGCCATGAGCCTTCATACAAATATTTAAGCACTGCCACTACGCAAGCAGTGAATGTCAGGGTCGGCCCGTCAGTCAGTCACGGCTGGACGGGAATCAGTGATGTCAATACTTGTAAGAATAACTCCTCGTGAAAGAAATCCCCGGCCGTGACTCACCTCCGAGTTACCACGACGTCATTAGCATGGCTGGAGGAGGAGCAGCAGTAGGGGGAGGCGGGGTGGCGTGGGAGCCCCGGCCCGCGGGGCACGACCGGACCGGCTTGAAATCTGGCTCGCTACCGCTGCTGCTGCTATGAAAAGCAACCGCAGGGACGCAGCAGCGGTAGTCTTCTCTGAGCAGTGGTGCTAAACCTAGGCTGTACACTGCGCTCGCACACGCACGCGTTTGTCTTTGTGCGTGCGCGCACTCTGGTGTCTGTTCGGCCAAGAACAAAACTCCGCGACGTACGCAGTTAAACGAGCGCTCTACTCTCGCGCTAGAAAAACGCAGAGGGATCAACGCTTCGTGGTTGAGTGTTTACTCTTTGCGCTGACGCGCAAAGGCGCCGCACTCGCTCGCGAAATTCCCCACACGTCATCAACGTAGCGAGAGCGAGTAGAGGGCGCGCAGGAGAAAAACGAAGAAAACGGAATTTCCACGAGACAGCAAATAAAAGGTTGCCAGCGCTTTCCGAGACTCGCTTACAGTTTACAAGTGGAAGGGACCAACAGCATCGAACGCGAGCGCACTGCAACACGCAGTACTCGACAACACACCGACTCCCACCTGCGGGCTACGGAATAATTCCAGGCGGAGACCAACCGAGCTGAATAACTCTGCAGTGAGCATTAGAGGTTAGAGGCCTTTCACACGTTGCTAATCCACGTCTGACAAGAGCTACCTATAGCAACGCGAGAGAAGGAGAAAGTGAGTGAGTGAGTGAGTATTGCCGTGGCTCGAAAGTACGTCGACTGGCGTGCTCCAAAATAGGACGTTCAATATGGGAGCATAGCAGTAACAACTATACCCAATTTCAAACATGTGGGTCAAACGGTTCCTGAGTTATCGTTGACCGTAGCAAAATGTTGACGGAAAGACGGACTGACGTACCACGGACGACGACTGCCACTCATTAGACTGCCCTGATGTTTTCATTTGGGATAAGTACGTATTGATATTTAAGAGCTCGCACCTGTACGATCTCCGACTGATTCAGTCCCACATCCTCAGTATTGACACAGTCATCCAAGCTGCCTTCTTCATTCACATGCAGCATATGCACCTGTAAACACGTGCACACAAGTAAAGCCAGTGACAAAACACACGGAATGTGAGCGGCTGTCACATCAGTTATGGTTGTCACCAAATTTAAAAGATGGCCCCGTAACATTACAACTTGCTTGACGTCACGAATGGACTCACTTGACTTTCACTTCCCTTGAATAGGTAAATGCTTTCTCACTGTTCATGCACAATTCGGCTTCTATCTGGCCTCTATTCTCTATCTCTATTTCTTATTGCACAAAGCGCTTGCATTCATGCTGTTTAGCAGTACTGTACCTTCTCAGTTAGACTGTCGACGTCAGTATTGTCACCTTCAATGCGGGAGCGAACCCATGACAGTGTCATCTCACAGAGCAGAGGGTGCTGGTCCAGTCCGATGCTATTGTCATCGTCTCCCTTCTGCACAACCTACAACAAGCATGGTCTGTCACAACCTACAACAAGCACGGACTGTCACAACCTACAACAAGCACGGACTGTCACAACCTACAACAAGCACGGACTGTCTAACCGCGAGGTGAGGCAAACACTGCAGGCGTAGAAATAAGGAGAGAAAAAGATATGGTCCACAGGAGCCATCTAGTTTGTAATTTAGATGGTCCTCCTAAATGTCTAATTGTTCTCTAAAAGTAATGCGGCGTGCAAGCCGTGAGAGCGAAAGAGATTTTACATGGTGATAAAATGGTTGGTTATTCACCTACAATGAATGTATCAAAGGATACAGTAATTGTTTATTCACTTTAATAGTATATTGGTCCGTCGGACCATTGACTTTGAAAATCTGATGGTCCTCCTGATTATTTTATGGCCCCGGACCATTGGACCATCGCTTATTTCGACCCCTGCACTGGTGTGCACGTATGCAGTGGTGTTTATGAGCAGAGAATGTTGACAAAGAATATCAGCTATTCCACCTGCCAGTATCGCCTATTTCATGAATGTTGAATTCTAAAAAGCTCATAGAGAAGCAAAAAATTAGTTTTTATAAGCCTCGTTCACACGAGACCTCGTATTTATGAAATACGGTATTTGTGAAATACCGAATCTGAGACAAATACGCGACCGAGCGTTCACACGCTGATTCGCGGCTCCAGAAATGCCGTATTTGCGAGTACGAGCTACTTTAGTAACAATCAAGCGAACAATGCGAAATAAACAATGCAATGCGCACCAACTGCCGATAAAATACGTAGACTGGTCCGCGTTCGACAATTCCACTCGCATTACACTGGAGACTGTCGAGCGCGGAGCAGTCTATAAAATACGCGGCTTCAGAAATACGGTATCTAGCGTTCACACGAGGAAATGCGCGGTCCAAGAGATCCGGTATTTCTCAAGCACGGCAAATTATTCGGGGTCTGGGAAGCCGCGTATTTACATGAAATACCGGATCTGTTTAGATACCGTATTTCTTGGACCGCACATTTTAGCCTCGTGTGAACGCTAAATACCGGATTTCTTGCTACGTGTGAACGTTGCTACGTGTGAACGCAGCTATGGCAAGCAGCGAGGTCGTGAAAGAAAAACAATCAAAATCACAAATTCTAGCTGAACCTTTCAATTGCCGCATTTTTTTTTTGCTGTGTTTGCACGTTTCGAGGTCCTAGCAAAGCGAGGACCAGATATGGGGGTCCAGGGGCATGCCCTCCCAGAAATTTTTTGAAAAAATTGCTCAATTTGGTGCATTCTATGCTAGTTTGGTGCACTGTAGGCACTGTTCTATGGAAGAACAGTGATATTCGTCAGTGAGGAGGCGGTGTTTTGGACAAATTTCCTCACGCCTCGCTCGTGTCCATGCAGGGGAAACACTGCTTTCGACTGCACCTACCTCTATCTGCACCCTAGGCAATCCAAGAAACTCCTTATCCACAGCAACTTTCAACATGTTCTTCTGAATAAATTCATCAGTTTTTTCCACCAGGGAGATATCCGAATGCCTGTTAGCGGTGGACCGGGTTCCTGTACAACAGCAAAAACACAGCAAGTCTGTCAGAAGGTTATCAAATTATAATGTGTCAACACAGCCACTCGTGATTCATCCCATCTGCTAAATCAAGTGTTCGTATAACTAAACTCACGCAAAGTCATCATTAAATTTATCCGTTCATTTACACTGTGAGAATTATTTACATGTCGCAAGTAAATATTTGCAGAGTACATATCGTGTAGCCAGTTACACCTATATTAAATATTGCTAGCATAAACTTTAGGACAATGGGAAATTCCACTCGTGATTCATGGCTTTTTCGTATTTTTATATTTCGATCGAGATCTTCCACCCGCATGGACAGTATAACGGTGTACTGACTGACGCCTACACGAAAATCATGAAATTTGTCAATCTGCATGTGTAACTGTAAGTCACACAAACCAACGAGCCATTGTTGCCTTTTATCTTCAAACTACAAGACTTAGAGCTTCAATAACGATTCATATTAAAATGGTGGTGGTCCCTACAATGTTTGACATAAATCGATTCCTACAAACCTTTGTATAACTAAAACCACGCAAAGTCATCATTAAATTTATCCGCTTATTTACACTGTCAGAATTATTTACATTTCGCAAGTAAATATTTGCATTTACATTTCGCAAGTAAATATTTGCAGAGTACATATCGTGTAGCCAGTTACACCTATATTAAATATTGCTAGCATAACTTAGGACAATGGGAGAATTCCACTCGTGATTCATGGCTTTTTCGTATTTTTATATTTCGATCGAGATCTTCACCGCATGGACAGTATAACGGTGTACTGACGCCTACACGAAAATCATGAAATTTGTCAATCTGCACGTGTAAGTCACACAAACCAACGAGCCATTGTTGCCTTTTATCTTCAAACTACAAGACTTAGAGCTTCAATAACGATTCATATTAAAATGGTGGTGGTCCCTACAATGTTTGACATAAATCGATTCCTACAAACCTTTGTATAATAAAACACGCAAAGTCATCATTAAATTTATCCGCTCATTTACACTGTCAGAATTATTTACATTTCGCAAGTAAATATTTGCAGAGTACATATCGTGTAGCCAGTTACACCTATATTAAATATTGCTAGCATAAACTTTAGGACAATGGGAAATTCCACTCGTGATTCATGGCTTTTTCGTATTTTTATATTTCATATAGGGAGGCATGGCAGTATATTCACACAAACCAACGAGCCATTGTTGCCTTTTATCTTCAAACTACAAGACTTAGAGCTTCAATAACGATTCATATTAAAATGGTGGTGGGCCCTACAATGTTTGGCATAAATAGATTCCAACAAACCCTTGCATGTTGCTTAAGCAACCCTGCAATAGGCTGTTTGTTATACAAACGCTACAATCCCATGTAAGCTACGATCACGAACATATGTATACTACTAGCAACTAGTACACACATGTTCATGCTACAACTCTATACATTGCCTAACCTACCCCCGAGATCCTACGTAAGTTATCCTAGACAAAGCTGGCTTGGTTCTGCCGCATGATCAACTTACGTAACCCAGGCATAACCTCAGCTATATTCGGTGTTGATCGCAATCAGGACCTACCATGCCTCCCTCACTCTCTCTCACACACACGCGCGCACACACGCACACACGCACGCACGCACGCACGCACGCACACACACACACACACACTCAAACACAGCACACACCCACGCGCACATACACACACACACACATATATACATGATATATATATACATATAATTGTACAGTAAAACTGTTTTGTCATGTTTTTGTAGGTGTACAGGCACTGAACAATGGGTTATATAAATTGTAATTACTGGCTGGATTTCATAGAAGCAGGTACCCCATTTCTACCTAGTCGAATGAAACATATAACAGCTACTTTTGCATTTTTCAGACTGTGCCCGATTATTGGAATATCGTCATCTGACACGTGCGTTTATCGGCGACTAGGACCAAAGAACTATGCCAGCCTGCATTTTGCCAGCCTATGCATTCACTTGAATCATAAAAAATTGCACATCTAAAGATTATTGCGGTTTCAAATATCCAGTTTATTAAACAAATAATTAACAGCTTCCCTGTGGATTGTTTTGTTTTTTGGATTACATTTCTTACTCGTGGTTTTCTGCTAAATCAATATCTGGCAGCTCCAATAACCTTTAAGTATCTAGTTCAATACAACACAATTATAGATTAACTGACGTTGGGATAACATTATGATGTCAATATCTGTTTTCACACATGAACTATACCTTGGAAATTAAATAGGAACAGTCAATATTGCCCCAGTCTTTTAAATAAGGTATATAATCTTATATCAGATTCAGACAGCGACATGTCATGTCACAGCTAATTGATCCACGCCGAACGAGTTGGGGGATACATACTACTGGATTTGGCCTGCGCGCCGCCACGCCGCGTTTTGTTTCAGCCGCAGTGGATTTCCTGTGACTGCCTACCTCCGGCCTGTCATGGGAGTCTTCTCGGATCATTCTCTTAAAAGTTCGCATGAAGGGTCGCGCGTTTATCGTAAAAGCGAAGCAAGACATCGGTTTTTGGTGTGGCGAGCATTGTTTTGCCATGGTAACAACATTTTTTGTCGATAATATCTAGAACCTGTAACTTCTGCAGTTGTTAACCGGTGATGGTCATGAAATTTCCAACCACAGGACCAATATATTACATACGTAAATAGGGATACATTTATAAGTTCGCACTTGGTGTGCCAAGTTCCATGACAATTCGTTAAAAACAGACACAAGTTACGAGGTTCTACTCAAATATTTAACAAAATCGTTGTTACATGGCAACGATGACTCTGCCACACCAAAACGATTCCGCGTATTCGCTTTACCATACACGCACCTTGGCATTCTCTGGGGAGAAGGTGTGGCACAGTAGCAAAACCAGTCCACTGTACCTACATTTACCCTTTTTTTTACTCTTGACGTTGCATTCATTATTTCGCTCTTACCGCTCTCTGGTAACCGGGCCTCTAATTCACCCTAGCGCTACAAACTTGGTATACTTTACACATCTTTGGGGAAGAAGGTGTGGCAGAGTACGCTAAACCAGGTCACTGCGACTCTTATTGACCTTTACCATTTTGACTTGATCATATTTTTCTGTCCGCTCTCTAACTGCCCGTAATTGACCATAGCGTCTGACCAAACTCTGTTGGTAAGTCTTTCACATTCTTGGGGTAGAAGTATGTCGCATCTCTCAATAACTGCCGACCACTGGGCCATCTTGACCCTCAGTTTTGAACACTCACTGCGACTTACATTTCCCTTCGGCCTCTCTAGGGTAACCAGATTCATATACTTCAGTCATCTGAGGCACACTCAGTTGGTTCTAACAAAGCGCTTTGGTCCTTTTGTGACTTATTTAACTTTACTGCTTCTACATCCTTACAGAGATATTACGCATTCAATACTAGAATCACGGGGGGATACATTTGGTGGGGCGACAACTGCTCGTTTCTAGTTAATATATTTAGCTAGAAAAGACCATGGGTTAGATTTTCAGTTGTTAGTTTAGTTATAACAGGCCGGATAATGCCATAATTGTACTGACACATGGACTAGCCTAATTGAGGAATTATGCACACGTTCTTGTTAAGAAGTGCCGGTAAACTGTTTTCTTTACCTGCTGTAACTAGAGTTTGTTACCTAGCTATCAAAGCCATGTATTTTTAAATATTTAGGTGCGAATAAACGTCCGTCTAACCACAATTTTAGCCCTTTTTCTAATATTGGTTTAGCCTTCCTAATGCAATTATAAAATTACCTCCCGTGTTCAGTAAAAATTTAGCAGGAATCCATAATTATGTCATATGCTCATCAAATTAAGCAATTTTCAAAATCTGCCATTTTTTTAACAACATGTTAAGCAGCTACTAAGGTGTACATGTAATTTTAGCAACAGGTAACATAGCTAACAGTCATTATATGAAGCGACCATTGATGCCGGTCCATATTGACGGTTTGCTTATCCAGTCCGTGTGTAAGGTATGAGGTAACAGCTGCTGGGTGGTCTCCTATATAGGGTCTTGGCCTCGTTGATTAGACTGGGTACTGGCGTTCTGAAGCAGTATATGGACATTGCCTTAGTTCTCTTGACCATAGTCTGGCAATCAAAATAACTTATTGTAACGCTAGCTGCAACATTAATATTTACATAAGAAATGTAAGCAATTTTCATAAGTGGTTTATCTATTATATACCTGATCACCCTTTCCATGGAACTTAAATATATGTTGTGGAGATTTTTCTGTTAGTTCACCTCATAATACCACTAATAATTATTTGTGCCAAGGAAAAGGGCCAATTTTTTCATTAAACAATGCCGCAAAATAAGATAATAAAGAGTTTGTTATATTCATTGTGTGAAACACCCTGTAAGTCATGGTAGCTTTGACACTCCTCGACTAATAGCACTCCTTCTTGGATGTTTGGGTAAGAAATCTGAAAGTCTGCTTGCTTGCCATTTCGCTGTTGTCTGTTGTTGCTCTCGCAGAGTTTTCATTACAATGAAGGATAGCAAGTGTTAATCTGCAAAGTAGAGTACACACAGGTCAATATTTGTGGCATTGTAAGTCACACAGTCATTAGCGCATTTGTAATTCCCGATAGTGTTCACCTCGCAAGTATAGTATGACTGTTATCGGCAGCTTCAACCTAATGATGCAGAGCCGATTTTGAACCACCGGGGGGCGGCTCCCGCCCATAGGATCAATTTCGTCTATAGGAATGCAAAGTAATTGGCTGTTTACCCTGTGACTTCATAGCTGATATAGTGGAAATGAAACTGAACTCTTCGGTGCGCAAAGCGTATTAACTATGACGTTGCTGATAGGATCAGGCTCGACGCTCTTGCTCCTCTGGAGCAAGCACTTAGGGATGTCCCTCTTCAGTATATTGGCAGTCACGATGTTTGTCAATATATGGTGAGCCCGGGAACCTGCATGTGCAAAGACCTCCA